ATCGCACGTGACTGTACGTCCCTCCCTCCGGGCAGAACAAAAAACGTAATAAATAAGATCAAATAAAAATAATAAATTGAGACTAATAAAAAAACCCCCACGACGTTTCGATCGCAACACAAGCGGTCTTCATCATGTTTTAACGTCCGCGCCGAGACATCGAACCGGCAAACCACCGCTTTGCGAGTCCGTTGTGCGTGAGGAAGAGACATTGAGACCCTTTGCTCAAATATATTCTGGGCGAAAAAACACAAAGGCAGGCTGTAACATGCATATCCCCCTACCCCTCCCCATGGGCTGACGAAAGTTTTAATATCCGAGCCATAGACAGCCCCCTTGATCATCGGCAACCGGCGCTAGTAATCCGTGGGATCACTGATGCAGCCAGCCTCACAGGTGAAAGAAGGCGTGAAGAAGAGACTCCACCACGAGCACGCCAGGAAGTTGGTTTTCCGTGACATCGACCAGAAAGGTGATACCTGCACGTTGGAAGCGCAGGTATTGTACCAACTTTTTAGCGCGGTGCAACGTCGTAACCCGTCGACCTACCCACACCCAGCGCCGTGTTTGTGCATGGTGCTGTAACTGTAAATTGCTGTGGATGTTCACAAACCCGTCTCATTCCTCAGTCCACAGCGAGTACGGACATGCGACGTCCTGTAATACTTAGGGATGTTGCCACCGTGCGATGGTCGGCACACCAGACGTGGATTTCAGAGGTTGCCGGTTGTGTGCCTTTAGTGTGGTCAGCGTGGAAGAGTAGGCCAAGTACCCCGCTAAGGAGGCCCTCTAGGGCGACCTGTAGTGGAAGCCCTCCCACCACCGGTGACGTGAGCGAGCAATTGCAGGGTTGCACCCTTACCTTTTACTGTAACGCCAATGTTGGAATGTTTTAGGCTTCGAGAATATAAAAAAAACCAGCGACTACGGTACTGTACAGGCACAGGCATTGGGTTGGGCAGTTTCAGGTTTCTACCTTCAACTGTTAATACCTGTGGCTTCAGCTCTCACTGGAAGGTTTCGTGTCTTTAAAAAAAAAACACGAGTGCCTGCTCGTTCCGCCACTTGCCGTGGGGAGGCGGTTGGAATTTACATTTCTGGGTCAGCTTCCCACTCCTGAATATCAATAGGTGTGCTCGCCACTGCCCGCCTGTGACCTCGAAAACCATGAGCAGTTAGTTGGTTTCTCTGCGTGATGTGTATGTACGAGAAGCAAAGCGTGTGCCGTTAATTAATATGCGTGGCTGAAAGGCGATTCCCTGGGACACACAGCTTTGGCATCCCGAGTGAAGTGATGTGGTCAGATGGGGTGATGGTGGCTCCTTCCTAAGGTAAGAGCGGCGTCAACACTAAGCGAGGCCGCGTGCTTGACAGGGAGAAGAGACGCTCTTAGAGACAGAGAGACACACACACACGCACAGCACAGGAGAGATACATTGAGGTGACACGGAGAGAGACACACAGAGATGTGAACAGAGAGGACACGGAGATACACGGAATCGTGGAGGTCGTTGCCCAGAGAGGTGCCAGGCGCGTGGTTGTTCGTTTCGGTTGTTCATCGAACAGAGCAACTCAGGTGTATGTATGCATGTTGCACTTCTTTCGCACCGCACGTAGCCAACCGTGCTAATCATAGCCGTACAGGAGCGATACACATGGATGGCTTTCTGCATGGTTACTTTAGAGAAGAAAAAGGCTAGACCAGTGAGTCAGTGGATACATTTTTTTTTAATCCTGAAAGTGAATTTACAATAACGGGCAATGCTTTGTTGCCGTCGGTATGCGGTTTACAATGTAAAGCGTCGAGGATGGTGACGATTAAAGTGAGTAGACTGACTCGAGTGCATAAAATACACCTGCTCAAAAAAGCGTAGGAGAGCACTTTGAATGGTCGGAGACAATCATGTTGTGTATGATATAAAGCACAATCCCTCTATCAATCCATTGCTGTCTGAACGCCTCACCGTGCTGTGTGGGTTATGATGGTTATTTGACCATACTTCTCCACGCTGGTCAATGCAGATTGGTGAAGAGGGACCCAGGGCCCGGTTCAGATATCACTCGTGGCCGGAAATCAAACTCGCCAGTGCAGTGCGCCAACCACTGTGCCACCGCTCCACCCTCACCGCGTAGAGCTAGACGGAATTGACGGAATTCTAACGAAAAAAATATGATTCATAGTCGGTGCTGTAGAGAAATGCCAATCTCACAGTCGAAATGTTGTTAAATTAAAATCATTAAGGAGGGTCTACTCAACCCCATCGCCCCTTCTGGGGTAATAAAATGAGCAGCGATTTTGCGGAATTTCCACAGCCCGTCTCAGCACCAATCATCACCGCTCAGAGTCGCGACTGAGTCACGGGACACGCAACAGTTTTTCTTTAGAACTTCTCAATCCACTCTCATCGATCATTTGCGCAGCTTTTATTCAAAGAGAATGTTTCCGCAAAGAAATAACGCTTCTATAAGAGTCACTTTTCCACTGTTATTACACATGTTAGTTGATGAGTACACATACAAAGAGAGGTAGAATGCACCAAATTCAAGCCGGCTGCACGGACGAATCCATCAGACCTAACAAACAAACAAAAACGACGTTTAATTCAGACGAGAGAAACCCATCGCCAGTTTGAGAAATAGTTTGAAATTGTTTCTGGTCACACGCTGGAAACTGCCCATTTCGATAACCACACGTGTGAGATTAGACTGCGTGGGTTGTGGCGCTGCACATCCAACACTAATTACGGAGAGGATGGTGGGGAGGGGGAAACACGTGCTGTTGACTTGTTAAGGTCTCCAGCACCCAATGAGGGATTATTCGTGGGAGGATGTCAAGGCGTCTAGTCGAGATATTACACCACTGCATGGGCAAACATTTCCATTGGTCGTACAAAAAAATATTCCTCCCTCTGGCTATCCAGCAATGACCTTCCTGGCTCCTTCCTGCCGAAAGGGTGTGGCACCACGGTGACACATGGCACGTGACTCATTGTGGGAAGTTAACGAGGTGCACCATCATTGAGTCTGGTCACTAATACAGGCTGCTTCAAATAAATGTTAACAATCACATGGGACTAACGTTTTTACTGGAATATGAACGGATAATACACTGTAACATGATAACAAATGTAATGTTAATAGCTTCAAAAGTATGTAAATAGCTTCAAAAAGTCAAACAGTCTCGACTTGTTCGCCATCGTTGTCAACGCGTGGCCTGGAATCTTCTCCAGGTGGGCTCCAGAGCCCGGAGGCAGCAGCATAATTCTTGCGGTATTGTTGCAAATTGTCGGAAGTGTTAACATATTTTTGAAGCACCATGTATATAAAGAATAAATTCGTTCATAATAAAGGGTTTTTTTTTTATTCGTTGTTGCTATGGCACTACTTTCTCCAACGTCCATGCCCCTCCCGCCTTGACCAGCGTGGTGAAGTATGGTCAAAAGATTAACGTGACACAGCGCAGCATTGGGGGGGGGCCCTCACTCAGCAGCCGATTGACAACGGGCCTGTACTTGTACATGAGGAGCATTGGACAGTATTTATTAGACTGAAAATAGTAGAGATGCACAATGGGCTAATGATTTTTAAAAAACTCGTAAAATGTCATTTATCCGAAGAGTATAACAAAAAAAACCAATGCATATCTGCTAAAGCAGTGTAAGTCATAACGACCAGTGAAGTATTATACTAACAATGTACAACCTAGTGTTAACCACAGCTGGATGAAAAGCTCCTCTCACCCACCGTGCCAGCCATGTGGGATGTTCAACCATACTTCACCATGCTCGTTAGTTCTGCTCGGTGAATGGGGTGCCCAGGACCGGTTCAGATTCCACTCACCACTGCCGTTAGTAGCCGTGACCAGGAACTCAACTGCGCCACCATTCATCCGGAGCCCTACATTGGTGGGATAATTAATAGAGCACGAGGAACTACCGAGTGTTAGACACTCACGCGTATGTTGTTGTAATGACTTCACGATGACGGCTGCAGAGTTGAGCTGAACGTAATCAAGAGAAGTACAAGGGCCATGCACCACAAAGCGGTGACTGAAGAAAAATCAAATAATTGTTGACGGGGACACAGGCGCAAAAGTTGGATGCTCGTGCGGCTATTGAAGGCCGGGTCGAGGATCACGGCGATGAAGTAAAGGAAATGAAAACCGCCGGACAGATGTTCGTAGAGAAGATAGGGGACTCCTATACTTACGAACATTCGACTTACGAACTTTCAGAGATACGAACAAAGCTGCCCATACGTCCAGTTGCCTGTTCCGCCCGAGACTCGTAAGTTCAACCCCCACGCAATAGATGGCGGTGGTGGCATCTACATCTGCAGAACGTGAATAACGGGTGGCATCTACAGGAGATTATACAACTTTTAAAGCCATGCCCCATGTTTAGTAAACACGACGTACAACACGTTTGGAATCAACGACAGGAGTAAAGTTAGACTTACGCACAAACCGACCTATGAACAGACCTCAGGAACCTAGCTCGCTCGTAAGTAGAGGAGTCCCCACATTGTGCAAGAGCGCAGCTGCGTGGTCACCACAAATCTGGCTGTCGCCTGATGAAGCTGGTTGTAATTACTGGCGAAACGTCGTACTCAGATCGTTAATGTTGTGGCTTGGCTCTCCAACTCACAACCGGTGTGCTGTACTAGTGACGAATTGGCCACGTTCTGTTCACGTGACAACCCTTACTAGTTGGCTGTGTCGGGTGGTGGCGGGTTGAACGACACATTTATATATTTACGCGATCTAACCCCAAAAAAAACCTCTATTATGGATGATATTGGTCGCGAAAGCCTACGTGTTAAAGATTAGATTTGTTTTGTGTTAAGGAAATTAATTAGCAGCAGTGGTTTTATGCGGAAGCAGGAAGCCACGAGTGTGTAGGTGTTACAAACACAGACCAGTTGTTCGTTCGTCATCTGGCTGCATCTTGTGTGTGTGTGTATATATAACCTCCGTCGCCCGGCCACTTGTCCCTGCTGCAGACGGATCGCCGCGATGATGGACAACTCGAGCTCCAACAGCACCGTCACCCTGGACGACTTCACCACCAGCGTCCTCACGGGCCGCCTCACGACGATGACCCTGCCCGCCATCTACATCGTCATCCTGCTCGTCGGCCTCCCGACCAACGTCTCCGCGTTCTGGATGCTCTGCGGCAGGATCCGGGCCAGCAGGTCGGCGTCGTCCACCAACATCTACATGATGAACCTCGCGGCGGTCGACCTCCTCTTCCTCGCCTTCCTGCCCCTGCAGATTGCGTACCACCTTCGGGGCAACGACTGGCCCTTCGGGCGCCCGCTCTGCCACCTCGTCACCACCTTGCTCTACCTCAACACCCACTGCTCCATCTTCTTCCTCACGTGCATCAGCGTGGACCGCTACCTGGCCGTGGTGCACCCGCACAGGGCTCAGCGGCTGCGCGGCGCTCGGACCGCCGTGGCCGCCAGCGCCTGCACGTGGGTCATCATCCTGCTGTTCGCCTCGCCGCTGCACTTCATCAAGCTGACGATGGACGTGCCACAGCTCGGCATCACCACCTGCTACGACGTCTTCCCCAAGATGGGCTCGGTGGTGTCGTTCTTCCAGACGTACTGCGTCGTCTTCTTCGCGTGCGTCTTCCTCGTCCCCTTCTCCGTCACCGTCTTCTGCTACCTGGCCATCATCCGCTCGCTGCTGCTCGGCAGCAGTGGCAACGGTGGTGCCGCGGCGAGCAAGGGGGCCGCCCACGTGCGCCGCCACGCGGCCCAGCTCTCCGTGGTCGTGCTGGCGACGTTCGTCACCTGCTTCGCGCCCTGCAACTGCGTGCTACTGGCGCACTCGCTGATGCACCGCGTCGCCGGCGGCAGCAACCTCTACGGCGTCTACAAGCTGTGCCTGGCCTTCAGCAGCCTCAACACCTGCTTCGACCCGCTCGTCTATTACTGCGCCTCGGCCGAGTTCCGTCGGCGCCTGCGCTCCGCGCTGCGCTGCCGCCGCACCAGCGACGAGACGAGCCGCTCCTTCTCGGAAGCGGGCAAGCCCAGCCTGGCCCGCGCCGGAGGAGCGGCGCGGAGGTCCGATGAGTCCTCGTCCATCAAGAAGTCCTCGGTGTCCGTGAGCAGCCTGTGAGATGCGGCGGCCGTCGGGGGAAGGTTTCTTTCGGTGTGACAGAAAACGGAAGGCGTCAAGCGCGGGTCAATGGTTAAAGGGTAAGCGGGAATGATAGCTGCGTTCGAATTGCCAATATTTGGTTTGGAATTTTTAAAAAACAGGATTACGTTTACATCATGAGACCTCCTTTGCCAGTTCCAAAATGAAATAATAGGGTTTTTCCCCTTTTTTTCTGGCAACAAAACTGAAACCTTTTTACAAGGATTCATGTCTGCATTAACCACAATACCTGCAGTCAAAATGCAAACAAAAAACATACTATGATAATATGATGCATTGTCCTTGAAACTGATTGGTCCACACCAAGGGACGGCTTTCTATTGAGCCTCGACCAAATTGGTGCTCGACCAGATGACGCCAAAAGGTGTTACACAGCTCAAAGACAATGCACTATCAAAGTAATGAGGGCTCGGGGTGAGCATCTACATCATTAGACCTGCTTTTCCAGTACCAAAATGTAATAATAGGGTTTTTCCCCTTTTTTTCTGGCAACAAAACTGAAACCTTTTTACAAAGATTCATGTCTGCATTAACCACAAAAAAGGGGAAAAATCCTATTAATAGGATTACGTTTATGAAGGGGAATTTTTATGGATTTGGAGAAGTGGCAGCATTTCGTCCATGTTAACAAAGCAGTCACTACCTGCATCAGACGAACAAAACATAATTGTGCCTGTGATTTAAAAAATCAATTACAGCTTTGCTCACAGACTGTTAGCAAAAAAAAATCGTGGGCTTCATTTGTGTGTTTACGAATGCGCCTTCCCAGCCGCCGTCCCATTGAGATGTAAATCTGGCCCTAGATCTTCATGGGGACAAAGAAAAATAAGTGAAGAGAAACTGAATTTACGTGCAGTAAAACCATGGAATTAACTTAAATTGTTTCAGTATCTCTCAAATGTAATTTATATTTTATTTTAAAGCATGGTTTTACGTGGAAGGGTGCTCATAAATCACGAGCCCTTACCACTACAGTCCAATGCAGGCAGCTGCTTGCTCTGTTAGTCATAATACCGCAAGCAATTTGCAGCCGTGCACAATGTGGAAGTCAGATAAAAAAAAACATTTCCTGCAGTTTTTATTAAACGAATGTAGCGAAATGTCAGCATTAAAACAACAGAAACATCAAGGACTTTTTGTTGTTAATAATAATTCAAGTTAGGTGTGCCCAGGGACACTGGACCATGGTACACGTGCAGAGTACCACTGGCCCACTGTCCAATACTGGCTTTGCATACATTTTCTCCAAGAAAACGAGTAAAATGTTCTTATACTCATTATCAATACCCTCTCGTGGAGGTCCGCCCAACAGCAGCAGCAAGAGCTAGACAATGCAGGGCTGAGCCTTTACCTTGCTATCTTTTAAACTTACGGTACTCATGGATTCCCGCTATTACGGGAGGAATTTTTTTAACACCACATTGGCTATTTCACACAAACAGGCATGCGACGATGCACTGATTGAGAACAATCGATGCTTACGACGCACGCACCAACTTGTGTGTGTGTGCGTTAAACTGAATAAATAGTTGAATTGACCACACAGACTGAATCCTGGCAATTCAGCAGACCGCTCAGCGAGATGAATAGCCGCATGCCTAATACCCACACTGTCAAGTGTTTTTTTTCACGTGGAAAACCGGGGGTATGCCACATTATCCCAGCTGAGAGTCAATTAAACCCATCATCCCTCCGTGGGTAATAAAACGAGTATCGTTTTAACGGAAAACAACTAAGGTTGTTTGGTGGACAGACGGCCCCTCCATCATGGGAGTGTGGAATTTCCAACACGGCCTCAGGACTGCCACCTGAAATGATCACGGGGGACCTTTTGACCCCAGACCGGCATAAGACGGCTGCGTTGATCGGTCTCTTGGATGTTGAAGGGTGAGGATCGGGAGGGTTAGAGAGTACGGGTGTAGGCGTATGTATGTTGAACTTCTTTCGCACGGTACGAAGCCAACCGTGCCAATCGGAGGCGTGAGTTTATATGAGAAAGTGACACATAACCGGCACTTCTTTCAAATGTTTCTTGCCGTTGGTTTTTTCACACCTGATGACGACCGTTTGTGTTATGGTCGAAACGTCGTGAGAATTTTTATTGTTTTATATATATATTTTATTATTGTATTGTTTCCCTTCAACGTGACTTTACCGAAAGAGCTAGGAATATAACGGGAGTCCTTTCGTCCTGCCATGGCTGCCACAATGGGTGTGGGGATTTATTTAAGCGCTACTTACGCTGCCGCCTATTGTTGAGTTAAACGATTTTTCTTGCAAATTTGAATAGCTAAGAGAACCAAAAAAAAGTGTTTTAATAAAAAACACGAAAAAATGCTTTCCGGTTATACGACTTTTGTCTGCATGTGCCACAGCACAGATGATTACCCCACGATGCACTTTTGATGCCGTTTGTAATCAAAACTTTGGAATGTATAACATAGCAAATTAGTGGTTTCTCAATCGTCACACAAGCCACATAGTGTCCGGCTGTGGGAAGAGAAATGCAAATACACAATGGGAGATGATGTCTTCAGATTAGCTCTTGTCCCGACTGCTTTTTGCTCAATTAAATGTAATTCATGAAACGTGTCCCCACTGTACACGAAGCTCTTGCGAAAGCCAGTTGAGGGTGGAGGTGGCTGCTGCTGGAACTCTGAACAAATCGGGGCAGTCCTCTCCACGGCTACGATCAGCTACGATGAGCGGCGTGTCTTCTTCGTGGGTGCTAATCAGGTTGTCTATTTAGCGTTGTCCAGGGCTGACCTTGGAAAAAAATATCTCCCTGCTCCGATTGGGGAGCAGGGGGGAATTGCACCCCCACCCCCTTCTCCCATCCAGTACAGCCACTGGCATATTTAATGTAGCGCACAAGTTGGGGGGGGGGGGGGTGAATATCATTTAGGGGCTAATTCCACTTCAACTGATTTTTTTTTTACAAACGTATTTTTTGTTGTTGTTGTTGTTACACATATGTTGCATATGTTGTACGGCATGTAGCGCTCTCTGATGGATTACCAAATACAATGTTGAATTCGATTATGCATTTTGATATGGGAATATGTGTGTATGTCGTCCCTTTGGGATTGATGCAACGAGTATCACTTTGAGAGACGGTCAACAATGCTTGTAGTGCGGGTCATCATGGTCCTGCCACAGGAATGTGGCATTTTCACCACCGGTTCAAGGCTATCAAACACAGGATGTGTCTATCTTGTCCTAACTCAAATGAACAATTACGACTTTTTTGAACTTTTTTTAAACACACCGTATTTTACATTGAGAATAAAATGCCAACCGATGCCATTACATCACATACTGTATTTATGCACTGAACTGTATTTTGTTCACGTACCATTGTTGCTCAAAAGGTATCCAGCAACTGTTTTTATATGTTAAGATGTTGTTTTTTTATAGATATAGGTCGTAATCATTGTTTCCAAATAAAAGTCAAAGAAATGTCACGATTATCTCGTCAATTCTCTTCAATGTTTAATTTTAAGATCAAGGAAGTGAAGAATGAAGAATAGAATGAGTGCGGCTTTAAAGAAAGGCATGTATCAAATTTAAAAGCAACATACGAGATCAGTCAAAAAGTTATAAAACTGAAAATAAAAACACATGTTGAAGCAATTGGCGTTTCACAATAAAGGTTTGTTTCTCGATTCTTACACGCTGCATGTCATGGGTTCACATGACTCCAATTCACCCCCACGGTTTGCTGTTTTGTACTTTTTTTTCCCACAATGTTATAACAATTGTTGTAATATCAGTGTCGCCGTCCAGAGATAAATAATCCATTCAGATCTCTCGGAGCAGCGCGTCCCTTTCCGACAGAGAGCAGCCCGTGGAAATGGATATCAAAGAACTGCTGCGTAGACCTGTGGTCTACTACGTGGACCTATACCCCTCTGCCACAGAGGCGAATTTTTTTCGTCGCTTGTCAGTCGAACCGGTTTAGACTGTCGTCAAACCAAGTGCATTTCCAAGAAAATGTAAGGGCTTTTTTCTTTCTTTGTGAAGTCATTGGTGAATGGAGACCATAAACTCATTACACTTAAGAACCCGGTTTTAATATCCGAGTCCCCTGTCTGGATTTGAATCAAGGGTCTCAGCAATGCCAGGGCAGCACATTGATCATTGAACCGTCTAGCCTACTGCACCATTCACCGGAATGTAATAAATAAATAAGATTAATTGTTGATCAAAATTGAAGTCCTGAATCGTTCGGGGATGGGGTCATGGAAGGGGGGGGGGGAATCACTTCACCCCGAGTTACACATGTACTCAATATGTATTGCATATCACTTATTGATGGAGCCCACATTAGAATCTGAATATTATTTATACTGGAGGAATCCGATGAGCAATAAAGCTCTTTTCAGAGATTTCCAGTAGAGAGTGGGTCAGAACGTTACAACTACAAACAGTACAAAAACACGATAGTGCAAAATATACACAAATAAAACTAAAACGTATGTTTTTTTTTATCTTACAGGTAAAACCCACTGAGCGAGCTGTTAACGTCTGTTTGAGACGCGACCTGGCCACAAATACAAAGACTCTGTTGAGAATAGAGTCAATGCTGGCAAGATATTACAACCTGAACCCCGTGGTGTGGACTTGGAGGTGAGCTATCAGAATGTGCATGCTACGTCTTGCAGCCCCAGGCATCTCGGCCCAATTTTGATACAAGCCCTTTGAAAGCCTGTCATTACGTTATCTGGGCCACCAACTTCTTTTATGTGGAGGTGCAGTTAGCAAATTACCGACAGTTTCATGCCATAATTACAGACCGCAACTGGTCGATTTCCTTTTTTTAACTGTATGCTTGGAAGGAAGTGTACGCCAGTTCTACGAGCCCTGTAAAATTCTATTAAGCCTCATGCTTTTTTTCTCTCAACTTCGAGTTAAATATTGTGAAAGCGATGGCTCCATACACATCTCTATTAATTTAAAGGGGTATCTGATAATGGATCACCATGAAATTCACCCCCAAAAGCCTATTCCCTTATTATTATTTTAAGAACACGTGAAAGTATCATAAACCATTTATTAAAATAAAGGCTTTTGGGTTAGATCGCGTAAGTATAAATGTGTCGCAACCCTCTACCACCCGACACAGCCAATCAGTAAAGAAATGTGTCACGTTAACAAAACGCCAATTAGTTACTTCTTCAG